ATGGGGAGATATGGCTGAAGGAATACCATTATGAAGGCATTACATATTGCTATTGCCACATCACCACTTTTTGACATCATGGCCAAGTTGGCTTTCACATCAGGACAGGCTATTCTCTGCTTTCACATTGATAGTTACTGCTCTGTCTGCTGTCACATTGATAGCTACTGGCCTGTCCCAAAATTTGATCTGAAATGGACCCTGAAGGCAGTGCCTGACATTCTGAGGGGGCAATGATAAATGCAGTAGGGTAGGTATGAAATAGCCCAGGCAGGGATATGAGATTGCAAAGGCAAGGATATGAAATAGCCCAAGGTAGGGAATGAAATAGATATGAAATTGCCCAGGCAGGGATATGAAATTATGCAGGAAGGGATATGAAATTGCCTAAGGCAAGAAATGAAATGAATATGAAGTAGCCCAGGCAAGGATATGAAATTACCCAGGCAGGGATATGAAATCACCCAGGCAGGGATATGAAATTGCCTAAGGCAAGAAATGAAATGAATATGAAGTAGCCCAGGCAGGGATATGAGATTGCCCAGGCAAGGATATGAAATCACCCAGGCAGGGATATGAAATCACCCAGGCAGGGATATGAAATTGCCTCAGGCAAGAAATGAAATGAATATGAAGTCGCCCAGGCAGGGATATGAGATTGCTCAGGCAAGGATATGAAATTGCCCAGGCAGGGATATGAGACTGCCCAGGCAAGGATATGAAATTGCCCAGGCAGGGATATGAGACTGCCCAGGCAGGGATATGAAATTGTCCAGGCAGGGATATGAAATGAATATGAAGTAGCCCAGGCAAGGATATGAAAAGGCAATGAAATAAGGCTGGGTAGGCAATGAAATTAAAAGTCAGGCAAGAATGAAATAGCAATGAAACAATGCTGGGTAGACAATGAAATGGAAGGCCAGGCAGTAATGAAATTGCAATGAAGTAGTATTGAAATATGTCTCAGGACAGTTATGAAATAGTCATGAGAAGCACTGGTAAAGAAATGAAATACATTTCATAAGTTTTGCCTACTCTTCTCATTTCATAAATTCATTAGGCAGTGTGGATGTCGGTGTGCAGGCACTTGCCTGTATTTTATCATAAAAGTGGTAGCTACTAGTGTAATGTTTTTGAAATATGTAGGAATACTAAGACTCGGACAACAGTAGGAGGTACCATGACATACCTACATACATCATACCCATGGCCTCATTTATATACGAAGCAAGTAAAGCACGATTTTTTTGTCTTGAGATTTAGCATTCAATTTATTGGTTATCATTATTATTTCTATGATGAAGAGGCAAGTGGTTCTTCAATCAACATGTCAGCATGCACTACACTTCAGGCCTGGCACTTCTGAGTGCGAGATGACCTCGGAGGCCAATTATTCGACTGATGGTAATTGGCCTGAGAGGTTGCTATCACTATGGCACCTTCCTGATCAATCCAAATTAGGAAGGGGATCGGGCCTTCATCTTAGTGCCCAAAGAGCCTGAGGTGTTGAAAGTGTCAGGTATTGAGCCTCTGACCGCCCAGAGCACCCAGAGTGCCCTGTGTGACCTTCACCGCCCAAGCGTAAAGACCTCTCACCACCCAAGCGCCCAGCGCAACGTGATGTGTTGTGTTTTTTATTTGTATGTCACACAGAATCATTCCAAGAAGGTTTTGGTATTAAAAATACGGAATTATGGGAATACATACGATATATGTCAAGAATATAGTCCAAGAAATAGTAAAAAATTCAAGTCCAAAATGTCAGTCCAAAATGCATACGAAATCAGTTCAAAATGCGTACAAGAACTAAGAGCTACAAGAAAAATGTCAGAGGATTGAGTGAGCACAATCTTGCGCAACTGCCAACTTGAAGCAGAATATGATGAAGCGACGACCTCACGTCAGGCGAGAGGGTCCAGGCTCCCCTTCAGCTGGCTTTGCTGAAGGGGTAGGGAAGGCGCCTTGAGGGAAGTACAGGTGAGGCGGATATGGCAGAACTGGTGTTGCTGAGTCAGAAGCACTACCAGCGGGACGGTCAGGGTTCCAAGGCGGCATCCCCGGAAAGGTCCAACCAGGGGGTGGGGCCGGGTACCCTGGCGGAAAACTGAACAGAGGAAAGAAGCCATATGGCCACTGGTATCCCTGTGTAGGATTGACCCTGGCCCCTTGTGTCAGGGGTGGAGTAGGCATGGACGTCGCTCCAGGCACTGGTGTGTCCTCCACAGAAGAAGTGGGTTTTGGGATGATGATTGGTTCCTCCAACAGTTTATCTGCCATCACAAGCGCTGAACTCATTGGTCTGTCGACGTTGGTGCAAGGTTTCTTGCTGATTACCGCTTGCGACCTTTCAGTATCCACTGAGCATTTCGAAGCGGACTTGGACAGGGAGAGGGCTGGATTGTCGAAGATACGAATGGGTCCAAATGCTGACTGTTTGGATGTTGTCGTAGACTCATGGATTGTCGACATTGAGGGAGTGACAGGTTGCATGGACACGCCCTTAGGATTTCCAGAAGCTCCGGCCTCTTTCACGGTGAATGGGTCTCTGGCAGCTGAGATGGCTGGAGGTTGATGCTTGATGGGGCATGGTTGGATGCACGCACTACCAGCCGGGTTTATAGTGGGGGGTGATGGTTTGGATGTAGACGCAGCAGCGACAGCACGAGACACTGCACTGAATGCAGAGATCGGTTTGAGTTGGTCGCTGGGGGCAGCTGGGGCAGCACCCAATCCAGAGGCGGTGCCCATGGCAGTGGTCTTAGTCGCTGTAGCCTTACCCTTTCCCTTGAGTGCCTTTGCTGTCATCTTGGCCTTCTCTGACTTTGAAGTCACCGTCGACTCCAAAGTATCATCGGCGTCAGCATCGCTGATGTTGCTGGATGAGATGATTTCCTTGGACTTCTTGGTGGGTTGCCTTTTCACTGGTGGAACCACAGGTTTGTCATCACTATCATCGCTGCCATCAGGTCTTCTTTCCTTTTTGCTTTTGGGGTGCGCTCTACGAGGTGCCATAGTTGGGTGATCCGATGGTGGACTCGACTTGATCTCTATGATCTCATGTGCTGGCAGAAGTTTCGCGATGTGAGGGCGCTTTTCCTGCAACCTGTCCATGATCTGATCGACGTGACCATCCAGATAACCATGACGAGTGACTTTCGTCACTGAGCTGGGACCTGGCGGTGCATGTACAAGGGCACTTTGCTTGTGAGTAGCACTAGTAAAACAATATAATAAGTCGGTAGTATAATGGTTGAATGGCAACAACACTTACTTTCTGGATCCACGCAGACAACACAGATCCTCGTCACAAGTGGCTACCACCTTTATCATAAAACTAAGGTACTTGCCTGTAGAGCTGTGTGTATAAGTCCACAAGTTTTATGAAAGGCCTTTCATAGGTGTGTCCTTGCGCTTTCAATGTATTTTTCATTTGGAATATTAGGCCCACTCATTCCCATTTCATTCTTCATTCTGTGCCCTTTCAATGAATTTTCATTAGGAATATTAGACCCACTCATTCCTTATTCTGTGCGCTTTCAATGAATTTTCATTAGGAATATTGAACCCACTCATTCCCATTTCATTCCTTATTCTGTGTGCTTTCAATGAATTTTCATTAGGAATATTGAACCCACTCATTCCCATTTCATTCCTCATTCTGTGTGCTTTCAATGAATTTTCATTAGGAATATTGAACCCACTCATTCCCATTTCATTCCTCATTCTGTGTGCTTTCAATGAATTTTCATTAGGAATATTAGACCCACTCATTCCATTTATTCCTCAGTGCGCTTTCAATGAATTTTCATTGGGAATATTGAACCCACTCATTCCCATTTCATTCCTCATTCTGTGCGCTTTCAATGAATTTTCATTAGGAATGTTGAGCCCACTCATTCCCATTTCATTCTTTATTCTGTTCATTATAGGAATTTCCTTCCCGGCCCTTTCCTTTTCATAATTGATCACATGCTTCTTCATCAGGAAAGTAACGCGGAAATATTTCATTGCCCCTGTTGAATACTTTCATTGTGCTCTTTCATTACATCTCCACCTACTCCTAGAATTTTTCAGTAGCATCACATGCCACGTTCAATCTAATATTCGCACCGCAAAAAAAATCCAGTTTTAACTTCCATGGCCAGCATGATTCTACGGTATTAACGAGAGTGTTAAGCTACTGATACGAGAGTTTTCATCTACTGATATCTATGAGTAACGAGATGGTGAAGGCAACAATGATTTAACCCGAACAATGCCTGAAGCAAACAAAGTATTATGTAATAAAAAAAAACAAGAGCTTCTCAAACATACCTCTTGGCCTTAGCTGACTGTGTAGCATCAACGGTGCCATTGTCACGACCTCGCTTTGTCCCCTGAGAGCTAGACAAAGCCTTCTTGTAGACCTGATCAATGACCCACCGGACATCATGCACCGCCAACCATGGACACAAAGAGAGAGGTTCAGCAGGTAATGCCCCAACCCACCATGACAGAGCTACTACAACCGTGTAGAGCATTGGAATTCCATTCAGAATCTGGCAGAATCCATTGGAATTCCATTCAGAATCCGGCAGAATCCACTGGAATTTGAGATTCCTACCATTCCGGCGGACTCCGGATGGAATTCCGACATTCTATGGGAGTCCGCTGGAGTCCGCTGGAACTCATGGGGGAGGGTAAAGTACTGTCAATTTCGGGCAGCGAGTCCTTCTTCTTACTCCTGATCCACGCCGCTACTTCATCAGGACGCGAAGTGGTTGGCAGTTTCTGCAAAGGAGAGTAAAGAGGTATCAGTTAAAGATGTTCATTACATCACAAAATTAATATGTACGCCGGTAGTTGGATTTAAGGCTTTGAACTTGAAGAGAGAGGTTATGAGATCTTGCCAGGCTTTCTCCTTCGAAACCCCGTGCAGGTAATCTGACATATTCACATTATGCAGCCAGGCTGGCAGAGGTGTCCCAGTGTCAGTGGTATCTCTAATGTCACTGTCGACGTCCATTTGCGAAACTGTTGAGGTTGCAGTTGAAGGTTGTGTTGAAGTCGAGACCTTGTAAATGGCAGGAGTTTCAGACTCAGAGGCAATTGATGATGCAGAAGGGGTAGGCTTGATGAGGGGTCCAACGCCGATTGCAGGAGAAGAGCCACCAAAATCATCGGAAGTGTGAGCTGGCTTAAAGGAAGGGGTAGGCTCGACGAGGGGTCCAAAGCCAGTTGCAGGAGGAGAGGCACCAAAATTGTCAGAAGAAGTGTGAGCTGAATCGACCAGTGCAGAGGGAGAGGCATCAATGTGGTTGGAAGGAGAGGCGTTGACATGGTCAGAAGTAGACGCCGTCACATCATTTTCAATCTCCACAGGAGTACTGATGCTACGAGTGAGATTGGCCTCTGCGACTGGCCTCTGCGACATTGCCCACGGTCCCGGAGGACTGGATGGGAACTGTGATTGAAGGGCTGGTGCCTTCATTCGCAGCAGGTTCGGTTGTCGTAGTTTCAGGCACATCTCTGATCAACACAACATCAGTATTGGACAGATGTAATCTTTTGTTCCTTACCCTGGTCCTTGTCCTTGAATCCTGGCCGAACTTCTGGTGGGTTCTTGATGAACACTTCTCTTTCCTCTTCACATTGTTCTCTGGCCCCCTTCCGTTTGTTTTGTCCGCTTTCGCCAAAGGCTCCATCAGAAC